ATTTAACAATTAAATATGTATAAGTATTTTATAAAGAATATATTTTCTTATACCGAAATTTTAACCGAGACACAAAAACGCACGTATCTTTTTATTTGAATATAACTTATGATGGGAGTTTAATAGAAAATCTATTTAATATACATAGATACTTATTAGTAAACTAACAATAATTATTAAATTATTAGTTAAATTAACATAATATTGTTATAATATATTGGTAATCATTATTAACTTGTATATTAGAAAACCACTGCAGTAATTAAATTAACTACTGTTTTCAGGAAAGTGAAAATAGTGTTAATATACATTTAAAATTTAATATAAAATAGAAATTATTTTTTTATTTATCTATCTATATCAGACTTATTCACAAAAGCTTACATCAGTTAATCTACTATTACTGACTTTAATTGTAAAAAACGGATAGTTAAAAAAGATTGATGCAATTTTCCACCACTATATACTATCATTGACACTATACATTTCCTAAGAAACAAATGAAAACTGACTTTGTTCGAGATGATAGAGGTGGAGTGGGAGAAGCTTTTTAAGCTCCAGAGCTTAGCTTGTGCAGGTCTGATCTATATAGTAAAAATTGAAAATTAAGATTAAAAATAAAACTTTTGGAAGCAAAAAAATATAACAATTTTTTCAACGTTTATTTATAATTGTAATTTTATATGCTACAAATATTATTAATAAAAAAAATTAAAGGTGCAGAGAATAGTTTGTTTATACCAACATATGAAAATTTTTATTTATGTTTTGAGAAAGATAGTATAGTTATTTGATAAAATAAATTAAAATATTGGTATAATATTTTTCATTCCATACTTTGTTTTCGAGAAACTTCATTTTGAAAATTCGTCAACTATACATAACGTAATGTACCGTTGTGCAATCATTAGTTACAATATTAGTCTATTAATTATATTTTAAATAAATATACAATAAGCAAGAAAACGTGTATTATAAATGTATATATTATGTCATATTCAAATACTATCATACTATCGTATAATATCACGTACAATGTATAGTAGTAAAAAAAGAAGCTGTTGATCTATTTCGATTTATTATGTTATTGTTATAAAAAAACGAATTGTGGAAAGTATTTCCTAGTCGAATGTTTGTAAACATAATACTTTACATTTATATAAAATGAGTCACAAAAGTGTCATGATAAAGAAATAATTAATGAAAAAATATATAAGGAAAACATTGAAAACTTTTTATAATTTAAATAGAAGTTATGCAAAAATTTGAAAAATTAAATAATTAGAATGGCCTTAATTCTATTTATTCCTAATGCATAACATTATCATATATATATGATAATGTTGAAGATATTTTTAATATTCATTAAAATAAAAACATTTGAAAACCTATCATATTATTTAAGACTTATTATTATTAAAATTGATTTTCTCAAAAACAAAACTTCAAGTGAAAAGACATTATACTCATTTTTTTATATAAACTTCTTCATGTGTAACTATTCTCTTTATATGTACATTGTAATTTAAAGATTTATTAATTGAAATAATTTTTAATAGTTTGTACATTAGTTTGTAATTGCTTTATAATTTATTTTTTGCAAATATGCAATTGTTTATCTGTAATTACTTTAATTAATATCTCATATTTAGTTGGAACATTCACTTATTTTTTATGTAATCCTAAAACTAATTAGTTAGTAACAAATTATATAAAAAATCATTTATTAGGGACAATCATTTTTTTGGAGAAGAAAAATGCGAACATTACATAGTCATCTGGATGTTAATAAAGATGGGGTTATCAGTTATGACGATTTTATGTTGCTTGGAGACCGATTTTCTGACTTAGGACACTTAACTTTAGAAGCTAAAACTGAATTTAAAAAAGTATTAAATGTATGTGAGTTTTTATTCTTTTAATGGATTTTACATATAAAAATAAAATGTCATAAAATTCTTAATTATATGTAAGGTAATATATCTTATAAATGTTTATGTATTTATTTACATACAGGAAATGTGGGAGGAGCAGTGGGGAGAAATTAGCCCCTATAATCTCATTTGCGTAGAAAAATATCTAGAAGAAATGCAACATGTTCTTAATGACACATCATTAAAAAAAAAGTGTCATCACTTTTTACCATTTTTATTCAAAGTATGTTTTCAAAAATATGTACTTATATAAATTAATACTTTTAAAAAATTCTTAAAAAATATAAAATTACAGGCAGTTGACAAAGATCAAAGTGGTGAAATTTCTGTACAAGAATTTAAATTATTTTTCCAGTGTTTAGATCTTACACACGATGTAAGTAGAATTATACAATTGATGTCATGGTTTTAAAACAGACTTGAAATAAGTAAACTAACTAAATTAAAATATTTATTATAGGATGCAATTATTTCCTTCAGTCATATTGATACTAATGATGATGGTAAAATTAGCTTTGAAGAATTTATAACATTGGGCCGTGAGTTTTTCATAACAGAAGATCCAACAAAACCCAGTAAATATTTCTGGGGTCCATTAGTGGATTAGATTTCTTATTGCGACCCTGTAATTTGTGATAGTAAAAAACTGTATATTAATTATTTTTGTAATGATAATAATTTCCTAATCTCACTAGTAAGATAGTTTAAGTTATTGGAAATAATTTTTTTATGTAACAAGTTATAGGTTGTTTTAAAAGATATTTTATATTTAGTGACAAAAGATTAGTTGAAGTATTGTAATGGTTAAAGAATTTGTATAAAACTTTTTTTGTTAAAAAGTACAACAGTTTAATTACAAATATAAATACTCACTTTTACAAATACATGTAATTGTATGAAAATAAATAAATCACCAATTATTCAATTATTTTGACTTTCTAAGAGAAAAGCCTTCACCAGTGAATGCCTTAAATTCATCTTGATCTTTTGCCTACAAAAATATATTTGTATAAATATTGAATGGTTTATAAATGATATTTTAACTTACCTCTTTATTATTAACAGGTTTAATTATGCGCAAAAATGTAAGTGTTCCTACTTTGTAATCATAATCTGGTATTCCTCTAACATAAGCTGGTTTACTTGTGGACACTTCTGGTTTTGCAAAATCTCTACGTTTTTTGCCATTTAATCTATTACCTTCTCCTTTGAATGGTACAAAACCAGATGGTGCTGGCATTAAATCTGCAGGATCGACTACATTTTCATCTTTTTTAATTTTTTTTTCTATATATCCCAATGGTGGAGCAAATTCAACATTCATATCACATTCTATAATGGTAACTGCTGGACCAGGTCTTGTTTCCAAAACATACATTTCATATATCCTTTGATTGTATTTTATAGCAATAATGTCACCTGTTGTAAGACAAGCAAAATTTCTTAATCCATTTTCTAATACAGCTTTAGGATTTGTAATGTCTAGAAAATCTTCAGATTGTGGTTGAAAACGCGAAAATGTTGCAACAGGTAAAGTTACACTTTTAACATTTATTAGTTCTCCTTCTTCTAATAAAAGATTGTACATCATCTGTAATCATATTATAGCAAATGCATACTGTATACTATGATCTAATGTTTTTAGCCAATAATGTAAATCTTGTAACTTAAACCTACCCAACAAGGTAAATAAACTCTTCCTTCGTCTGCAACAAATTCTAAAACACCGCAATGAGTAATTCTATTGGTCTTTTCATTGCTTAGTTTGAATAACATTGGAAATCTAATATTCAATCTTGTAAGATGCTCTAATGCTGATGGTGGCATAATTACTAAAACAACAATAAATTACAATTATTTATTCAGTAAATAAATTATAAAAAGTTTCATGGATATATATACTTTTGCCTCCACGTTCTACATCTCGTCGATATGTACCCGGTAACATTGATACAGAAAAACATCTATAATGGTTGTTAAAAGGCCTTACCATCTCCGGAAACATGTTAAATCCAAACTAAAAGTGAAAAGTCATCTTAAACAAAACAACCTAACCTCAATTTATTGAAACGATAGTTAAACAGATATTCCATCATTGTTTCTTGTTTCACTATCAGAAATTTTTACCATATTTATGTATTTGTTGCACCACTTCCTAGAAAACTTATGAATAATAAAATTTGTTAAAAATGTGCAAATTTAAATTGACTTATAACTATGACGTATGCGTATATACACAAAATACTGTATGTATATAAGTATACATCAGATGATTCAAAGTGCGCCTGACAGAAATTTTAATATTTCCCGTCAAGTTTAAATTAGTCGCGAATATGTTATATATGATATAATTAATTTGTTTAGTACTACGTAATTATAATTAAATATGTTAAGATTTAATGTGACAAATCAAGTTATGATTAAATAAATCTAACCTTTTATTTTGAAAACTGACTTATGAAAATTTTTATTATAATATTTAATATACATTATAAGATTTTTTATTTATATAATTGATAAACAGGGTTTCAGTAATTTAAATATGTGTTAAGAATAAAATATCATATTTTTTTACATTCAGATAAAATATATAATTCAGAACATTAACAAGTACTAAGAATTACAAAGGATCATTTTAATTAATTAATATAAACTATGTGTAGATTTAAAAGTATAACATAAAATTTATATTATATTAATGTATCACTACAGCAACTACACTGCCTGCAGTGTTTTTTTTTTTTTATAAAAATAACATGCAAAATTAAATGCATTTAATATAAAGTATATATTTCTCTGGTACTTCATTTATTTGTAAAGTGTACTTGAAAACTAAAGGCAGGATTTAGTTGAATGTTTTAATCATTAATCAAAATATTTCATTATTTTGTAACTTCATGCATAGCTTGTGCAAGATATTCTACATTTTTTGATGTTACTCCTGCCATAGATATTCTACCATCCTTTGTCAAATAAATGCTATAATTTTTTGTAAGTTTTTCTACCTGTAAAACAAATAATAACGAAAATAAATTATTATGTTCTCATTAGACATTAGATATCAAAGCAGAAAATACAAACTATTAGTGAATGTACCTCAGGAAGCTTAAGGCCAGTATAACAAAACATTCCAATTTGGTCTGTAATATGTGACCAATCATGGGAACTGCCAAACTTCTTAAGATTATCACGCAATTGCTGACGCGCGGAAATAATACGGTTTGCCATTGTTTGTATATCACCAAGCCATTCTTGTTTTAATTGTGAATTTCCTAAAATTTCGTTAACAATTCTAGCACCATGAATTGGCGGATTAGAATACATTGGTCTAATCAAAATCTTTAGTTGTGAAAGAACACGTTCTGCTTCATCCTTATCGGAAGTAATCAATGTAAATGCTCCTGCACGTTCACCTATAAAAATCAAAATTTTTTAATTTTTTTACATTTTTAAGACTATCATACATGTTTAATCTATATTACCATATAAACCCATATTTTTGGCATATGATTGAGCCAAAGCAAATTTAATTCCTTCTTTTGCAAATAATCTTACAGCAAAAGAATCTCTATCTATATCACCTAAAAATTAAATCAAAATATTTTAATGCACAAATTTCATAAATCAATTTAATTAATTTTTCATGTACTATTTTACCTGAGGCAAATCCTTGATATGCCATATCAAGAAAAGGGAAAAGGTTTCGTTTCTTTATTACTGCTGCTAATTCTTTCCATTGTTCAGGTTTAGGATCAACACCAGTAGGATTATGAGCACATGCATGCAGAAGAACAATAGATTGTTCTGGAATGTT